GACACCCGGACGTTTCCTCCCGCCCCATCAGACACAGGTACCTCCCGAAACTGCCATGTCCGGTGAGGACCTGCGTCAGGCGGTAGGTGAGGACGCCGTAGCGTCTCTCAAGCCACTCCTCAAAGAGGGGACTTACCGCTGCGATGGCAGCGAGCCCAGCTTCACGCCTAATCAGTTCCAGTGCTTAATTAATTCTATTTGTGCTGCGCCTCCTGCCTAGTGGGTAAACCAAGCGGAGTTTTTGAAGTCATTGTATTACTTCGTATCGTATCTCCACCAACTAAACACTTGCATTTGTTATTTCTGCTTTAAGTTGCGTAATATTAACTGGCAAGATAGTATCTATAGTTTCCTGTGAGTGTTTTAATAAAAAATATCCACCTGAACGCTTTGCTTCTGATTAATTTCAATATTATGTAGGCTAACGTAACAGTGCTAATTACCGGTAACAACGCCGTTAAGTTCAAAACTGGCATTCCCGATGATTCAGCTATTCCCTTGTCGAATGCACGCGGTAGCAGGTTTGCGTGTTGCGTGCCAAGCCTACGGCGCTGGTCACGCGAGCGGTTTCCGTGGCTGGTGGCTAGCGTGACGCACGTCACAGACACATTTCTATCTTCCACCGTGGAATAGAGAACAGGATTGTTCCGATATCAAGTTAATGGTATTTACAGACGAAAGTCTACGGAATATTTTTACATAAAACACATTTACTATTCCTTTTTTTTTTTCAGAAAAAGTGAATTAGAACGTTAGGCGTTTCTCTTTAGCTTTAATTTTAATGTAATGTTGTGATATATTTTTTTAATTTAGCACAAAATGTTTTACGAGATATTTGCAGTGTACTTACTGGGCTATCAGCCAATGTAAGCCAAAATAACATAATTTTCACATGGTTCAACTCAAAATAACAAAATGTCTGAAAATTCGTAAAGTGCCTAGTCCAACGTTTATGTTAATATTTATTAATATCCTGAGTAATTTGTGTGGAACAGCGTTGTTTCTACCACCCATCAACGAAGGATAGCGCCTTATCGTGTGCCACCACCATTAAACAAAAGTGTGGAAGAACACGCGAAATGTGGATAACAGCATAGTGCCGTTTTTATTATAATTACGGTATAAGTAGGTAACACTTTGTATGAGATTAAAAACGATTCTGGAGCAATCCTTTTTAAATTTTAGTGTACTTCCAAAGATATTTATTACTCATTTTCAACGTAACGAACGTTTAGATCCAACTAGCGCTTTGTGGCACTATTCAAGTATACAAAATATACCTACGTAATCCCATACATAATCAACGACCATTAATCAAAGATCATGCAATGAACTTTTCGCCGCAAATCAGCAACTTGTGCAGACCCTAACGCAAATTAGCTGAGTGCACGGCAGCACCAGTGGGGCGTAGTCACGCGATCAGTGTTAGAAAGCGCTGAACACGCACGACGCCACTGTTTTTATGATCCAGATTGACGGCCAGCATTTAACAAAACACTATAATAGAACGGTAACCTCGCAAGTCCCAACAGAAGAATATCCTTTTTCTACTCACGATAGCTTTGTATTGTTACTGCATTGTTGTAATGTACATAATCTTTCAGTCTCCACCTCCAGTGATAATTTAGAACAACACGGAAACCTTGAGATTGATCTCATTGGAGTTTGATAAGTTTAGGCAGACCCTATTGAATTTCAATTGATATCTAATAACGAACACGATCGTTATCATTATCTTCTTTTTTGACGTCAGAATAATTTATATTGTTATCGAAGTAGTCGAATAGTTCTGCAAATATAAAGGGATCCGACTTTGTTAGTGTACTGTCCTAATGTTGCAACTTGTGACTAGTTTCAACTGTTGCCCTTAAGTCCAAGTTGCAGTTTGTCCGGATATGTTGGTGTAACAACGGACGTGC